AGGATAATGTTTTCTTGTTCTTATTTTCTATACGAAAGAATTTTCCTCTATGTTTTTAAAGTGAGCAGATGTGAACTATGGAGCCAGTGGAGCCTCCTCCTCTTTGTGGGAGCCCACTGAGAATGGCATCTCCCAAAAGGAAGTGCTCTGGAGGAGGAAAGAGCCGAGGTCTACCCTTTGTTTGGGAACTGTTTTCTAAAGGGGTATGTAGAAATAAGATAGTAAGAGGATGAACATGTGAAATCTAAGTTAGGCTATTATCTTTAAAGATAAGGAATAATCTCAGAAGTCAAAATTGGAGGATTTGTTGGTCTTCAGATCCATTTTTGTGCTCTCGCAGATACCATGAAACCATTAGGTTTATTGACCTTCATTCGGTTCATTTATGTTATATAGAATGCCTGGGTGACCTTTGTCCAGAGCATATGTGTCTGCACATAGAGTTGACCTCATAGGGAGATACTGAGAGGGAGATTATTAAAGAGCCATAGACCTTGAGAAGAAGACATAGGAATTTAAATTTCTTGTACCATCACAGAAGAGAAGACAAAGAAGATGCGTATAAGTGCAGTTAAATTTGATAGTGGAAAGTTAATTGAATATTTCTCTGATGACTTCTATCATCACTCTGATGACTTTCAGTAAGGACAAAAAGAATACAGGTAGTTTTAAGACAGAAAATATTATAAAATAGTCATCTTCGAGTGTTGGGAAGAGAATCGACCTGAGAACTATAGATCTCCTGGCTAGTGTTGGAATGTATCTTTAGGAATTTAAAGTGACACCAGTCATCACTGTGTGTGATTTCACTCATAATATACAGACTGCTCTCGTGCAGGAAAGAAGGAAATTAAAAGTTGAGTTAAACAAAAGTTGAGGTTTTTCCAGATATGTTAAAAGGAAAAAGAGCAGAAGGTGCTTGAAAGGAAGTAATTATGGTAATGGTCTATCAAATCTGAAGCTAAGGAAGGATTTGAAGATAGGAGATTTAATGAAGAGTGAAAAAATGAGTCTATAAAATAAAGGTCTCATGAGATAGAAAAATGATAAAAATTACCCACTAATAGGTTTGTTATACCTGGTGATAACAAGCTAAAGGGTATGACAATAATGGTGGGTGGGTAAGAAGGAGGTAATTTTACATAAAAAATATTAAAGGAGCTATCAGGTCACCATGACAGGTGGATCATGTAAATGGAGGGCAGCATCATTGGAAATTATGACTGGGATATGAGTAGAGGGTATGAGTGAGCCCAGGGTGAAAGTCACCAATAATAAGAATCAAGCCTGGCTGGTGCGACTCAGTGGATTGAGCATCATCCCACAGACTGAGAAGTTTGGTTCGATTCCTGGTCAGGGCACGTGACCACTTGCAGACTTGATCCCCAGTGGGGGGCGTGCAGGAAGCAGCTGATCAATGTTTCTCTCTCACATTGATGTTTTTTATCTATCCTTTCCTCTCTCTCTAAAAAAAATCAATAAATATATATATATATAAAAGAGTCAGGCAGTTGATGATAGAGAAGAGTTTGTAAATAATTAAGCCAAATGATTAGTTTCAGAATGGATGAAGTTTTTGAAAGAGTAAAAAACTAAATCATTTGGAAGAGAATATGTAGAGAAAAAAAAAATCTCTCCACCTTTGAGTTATATGACAAAAGAAAGGAAAAACACCCACTATATTAAAAGATTGCAGTAAAAAACATTTGTCAGGAGACAGCTAGATTCTTATATGGTCAAAGCTCAATTATTAAATGTCTCCTTCTCAAACAGTTCACTTCTCAACCCGACAACCATTTCATGCTGAGACCCGTCTGATCAGTCACATGTCTCTCAAGAAAGAATGTTCAAGTGTGAGTCAGTTTACCCTGATAAACCTCATATTGTTACCATCTCAGGAAACTGTGCTATGAATATTGTCATGTTTTGTTTGCTTTTGTTGCTGCTTATTATTATTACAGTTTCATATTTACTGTATATTTCCTTTCCTTTTTGTTAAACTTTCATTTACATTTCATGTCCTTTCTGATTTTCAAGTCTCGTTTATGGAATAAACAGTACATTAGACATGTACTGTATATAAGAAAGGTTGAAATGGGGAATCAGTTGGGGGTCTGCAATGAAGTAATTCAATTTACGTTACTTCTAATTGGAAACAAATGACTCAGTTTTCGAACAGCCTTCTGGAATGAATTAAGTTCCAGAACTGAGGTTCCACTTGAAGCAAGGGCACATTTTCCCAAAGAAGCCAAGGACAGAGGAGAGTTTTCAGCATGTACAGCAAGCTTCAAAGATTCGGGAGGAGGAGTTTGGATACAATTAGAGGTTACAGACCGTACAGTGTACATGGGTTTATGGTGATGCTGGAAGACCTGAAGCTTCTCATGTAGGTCTCTGAGGCAACATGAAAATTCTTCACAGGAACTTAGGTAATGATTTCAGGCAATAGTTTCGTTTCTTCTGATTGGATAGGATATGTATACCCTCCTGCAGCTCTTTCAGATGTGGCCTTTTGGAGTAGAACAAGAACAGAAAGTGTTGAACAGTCAGAGTGACCTCTCTTCTCTGCTCACCACCGCTACAGAAGAGAGAGAAGGCAATCATTAAGATAAAACCATTCTACTTGAAATTAAGTCTGTTTAGGCAAACACAACTGTATTTAATTAATTTTGTGAAGAGTGGTAGCCAGAAGGATTAGTACAATGTTTGGGTTTTTTAAGGGATAAAGCCACAAAGCCTCATTTATTAGATAACGCAAGTTGTCTTAATAACTGATCCCCTGAGGGTGTCCAATAACCAAGTTCACTATTAAGAAAATTATCATGAAACTAGAAGATATTTACGAGGGATAAGAAAGGCTGGAACTGGTAACTAATCCTTCCTCACTGTTCAACAGAGATTAGGTCCTCAGGAGATTGTTACAAATTTGAGCTCCTACATTTTGAAACAGATTTGAAAATTTTGGAGAGGGTCCAAATAAAATCAAGAGAAATGATTTTTATATTATAAAGACAGATGAAAGGCTTAGTTATTGTGAAGAAAACTCAGGAATGATTGTTTCTGCTTTCAATTCTATATTAAAATAAATAATTTAGTTATTAACTTGTCATAAAACAACTGCATTTAGTAGAGAGTGTTCTGAAGCCTAAAGAAGACATCACTTAAACACTAATAGTTCAAAGGATGGTGTGAAGGTGTTATTTCTGGAAATAGAATTGTATAGGTTCAGTCAGAGTGTGCAAGTGTTATTTCTGGATATAGAGTCTTACAGGTTCAGCCGGAACCCTCCAGAAAGCAAGGGACTAGGGAGAGCCACCTCTCTGACAGTGTGCAACGTACTTGGTTAAATAACGCAGGAAGGAGCAGAGATGTTGAGTATTTTCATGGATACGTATTCATTTAATTTTATTCTAAAGCATCTGAAAGAGCCTAAAAATTAGTGACAGGTAAACAGACTTAGCATCTAAGAAACTGAGAGATACCACTGCCTCTTTACCTTCACCAGTAGCCCTCAGATGGGCTCAATACTATCCGGAATCATAACCTGATTTGTTTTTTTCTCTTCATGTCACATGTGACACTGGGCGATGTAACATCTGAGCGTCAGTTTACTCATTTGTGAATAGCGAAAATCACTCTCATGGAAAATGTGTTGAGAGAATTAACAATATATGAAATCACCTGACACTTAATGGGGCCAATGGTGCTTAACAGAGGCAGCAAAGGAACTCAGATTCAGGCCCCTTTTCAGAAACGTTTCTGCTAGTAGCCTCTGTACGATGTGGTGGTATGCCAGGAGATGCCCCTACCTCCAAGACGGCTTCCTCCCTGCTTGAGCAGTCTTGGCAGGTGCTGTACTTGACCTAGTATCACTGCTTCTGTTATAGGTAAAATCGGTCTGGAGGAAAACAATGCACACAGAGAACAAGTCACTTGGAAGCAGGTGTGGGTGGTGGGGTTAATGACTGAGGGCCCTGCCTAGATGGGCAAAGAAGTTTTGGGGAAGAAAGGATGGGAGTGAAGCAGAAAGGAGATTGTGGGTTGTCACTCTAGCAGTTTGTCCGGGACCAAAGCTGCTTTCAAAGTCTAATACAGTATTCACGCCTGGTCTTGGAGGGGCCTCCTGACACACAGGTGGGAACCAGACACCTAGATGTATGTAAAGCATACAGAACACAAAACGCAAGTTTCAGTCTTCTCTGGAACATTTGCAGTGTCAATGGAAGTGAAGAATGGACATTTTATACAGATATAGTTTATCTTCACACCTGCAATTAAATTCAGGTTCACAAACTATGCCAGGTTTCAAGAACCTAAAATAAATCTCATATATGTAATTTGATCATTTTGGCTCTGATAGATAAAAGAGAGGAAAAGGAGACTTTCCCCCCAAAACACTCAGATCATATTTATGATTATTTCTGGATATATTTTAAAAAATACATTCATGCAAAACTTTCATTACTTTATTGCTTTCAAAGCATTCCAAGCAATCAAAATAATAAAATAATTTGGATAATATATACACACACTTACCCAACATGAAACAGGTAAGGCTTTGCAACATTTAATGAATTTCAGTTAACATTAATAAAAAGTGAAGAAAGAAATTCAAGACATGCAAGGTTTAGGAAAACTATTTCTTATTAGAATATTTCTGAGATATCCATGCCTAGTATCACTGCATACATTAACTTCGTAATGGGCAAATTTGTTGTAGAGGAGATATATTAAAAACAATTTTTCCATGAAAAAACTCTAAGGTGACACATTGGCAATTATAACTCCTTTAACAGAATCAAGAGTGTTGCATGCTATATAATTTGATTCTACTGCTTCATTTGAGTGACTAGAAAGCAGTTGGGGTTTTTAAAGACGGAGAAGCATTTCTCAAGGTTAGCTTTCTCAAACAGAAAATTGAGTGTTACAGATTCCACCTCCCACAGACCAGAATTCACCAGCATTGGTCAGGGGCAAATACACTGGCTCTGTGTCCTCAGTCGCTTCGTGCCATTGCAGCAAGTAGGAGCCAAAGGTAAGTTTTTACACTTGCTTTCTTCTTGGATTAGAGACCTTTTTTCCTACTATAGCAACCTTTAAAAAAATAGTTCAACTTGCTTTGATATTTCCTGGTGAACTTTGATTCAATGGATGGGGTTAGTTTTTTTTATATTTATATTTATGTTATTCTTGGAAAATCCAAAATTCTGAATTAGCTTAGGAATTAATAACATTCAGCAAAATACTTGATCTTAATAGTCATGACAGATGCCAATAAAACTACAGCAGTTTCCAATAAGTTTCTTAAATGAAGTGCCTGACAGATCACATTCTTTGCCAGTATAAAGAGGTACTATTGATTGAAATACTATGCAAAAGAAGAAAATGACGAGATTTTAGGTGTTTAAAAATATATAATGATCATACTAGAATTATACATTTAGAATGTCTTTTTCAGTTACTTATTTTAAAATCTTATTTAAGCATACATTTTCAAAATATTAGGAAATGGATTCAAGTGGGCAGCAATTTCAAAGTTTCAACAAAGACACTACATTAAATAGTGATAAAATGACTTGAAGGAAGAAACATATTTTTAACTAAACATGGCTATAGGTTCTTCCTATTTCTAAGATCCACACAGACTACCTTATTGCTGGTAGCTTTAGGGCATGTGCCAAATGCAGGGAAACTCTAATATGTAGATATTTATAATCAAATACAGAGTAAAGCGAGAAAAGGAACCAGCAAGTGCATCATCTCTTTGAACAATGCAAGTTGCTAGAAATATACAAGAAAATTGCATTTGTTTAGGTTGTGGTGGCCACTGTGAAGGCTTCCCGCTTGCCTATGGGAGAATGGTCCTGGGAGATCTGCAAACCACACTGTTTATAAGTAGGGTTTGTTCGTAAGCACACACAACAGTTCCAAATCTTCAATCCTGCAAAGATCTCTTCAAAAGCAGGTAAAACAGAGGCTTAGTTTATCCAGGGTGAATAAAAAAATGTATTTGAAGAAAGCGTAGAAGGGGATAAAAAGGAGCTCCTTGTACTGCTTCTGATTCCCAGAGGAACTGCATATCCTTCTGCCTGAACCTGCTCCATAAAGACTTTCTTTCAAATAACTGAAGGTCAGTGTGTCTGCCAGTGCATTCAAGTTTAAAGTAATGTTTACCATGAATTCTCTTTCATATATGTACATAGGTACAAACACCATAGATTCTGTTTTTAGACCCAAGAAGTGAATCTAAAACACAAAACCTTTAATATTAGACGTCTTTGATAAAAAGTTTTGAAAATACTTTGCTTCCTCAATAAATAGTCACTAGGTAACGTTTTTGATAGGCCCAACTTAAATGTTTAAAGTTAAACATTATAGATTTTATAAATTAAAATATATGTAAAGGAGCACATAGGCAACTAAAATAATGTCCCAGAAAACATAATGTTCTCATAGGATATAAGAATTGTGCTTATTATAGAATTACAAAACAAAGATTTCTTTAGTCCTGTATGGATACAAATCCCCCTCTGAAATGTGCCTTTTGGACATGCATTCCTATTGCTTCTGACTTTAAACCTTAGGTAGCTATTAAGAATTGAAATTAAAAAAAAAGGACTAAAAGAAATATAACTTTCTGTTCTGCTCCATTTAGTTAGGAACAAGTTTTGAAAAATATTGCATGAAATATTAATATATATGCATACTAAATGATCTATATTTTAATACTACCCAGCAGCAACAAAGAAGTAAAAAGAAAAAAGAATATCATTTTGTCTGAAAAGACCTTAGACTTGAATATACAAAAAGCAGTTATGAGTCCTAGGTGTATGACTAGCTAACTCGGTCTTGGTTTTCTCATCAGTAAAACAGTGTGACATTGTATTGATCAACATCATCACCATCATTCCTCCATTCCAGAGTTGATGAAATACTCTTAATGCTTAGTAAAGTAAAGGCTGTTGTGAATAAATATATTACAATCTTTCTTCATTCCATTTTCCCCATGTTTCTCTATAAAATAAAATCAATTGCACTGTAATTATAGCGTCTACTGCAAATATATGGATAGGTCTGTGCCTTAATTTGAGCACCTGGTATCAATAGTCACCAGAAGCCATACGAGGGCTTGTGTGATGTTTAGAAATTGTCCATGGGAAGAAAGCTACCAGCTTGAGTGCCTCAGTGTTAACATTGATTTATCTACCCTTCCTGTTTAGTGCACACTATTCATGCAGTCTTAGCAATTAAATATTTATTCATTTTAATATTTTATGATTAGGAAAGTTTGGAAAATGAAAGCATTAGCAAGACTTGTTCTGGGACTTGTCATCTTTGATGCTGTTGTGACTGCTCCAACCTTAGAGCCCATCAACTATGACTCAGAAGCTTATGATGCCACCTTGGAAGACCTGGATAATTTATACAACTATGAAAACATACCTATTGACCAAGCTGAGGTACCTTTAAAAACATTGCATGAGGAATTATTGGGGATTGTTCTCTTCACATAGGCTTTTGTTTATTTATAAATTGAGATATTCTGTCTTAATAATTTCATATGAACCTTTTCTCCAAAACATGTTCAATGTTAGAGATTAATGTCGAACTCTTTTGCTCTCTTATGCTTTGCCTTATTTCTTCTATAATTATCAAGTTACAACAGTGAAAATTAAAGGAAAGAGCCATAGTTGGTAAGGGGAAGTAAAAATAATACATATACAATGATGAAGAACATTGGGAAGTTTACTGTAAGGAAAAAATGTGAAATTATAATAAATCAGGAAGTAAAAAAAATATAAAGGACAATGGTTTGGAACAGCACAGTATTCCAAGAGCAAATGTGCTTTTCTAAATAACTGATTATCTCTCAGCAGCAATGTAGGCCTTGGCAAGGGTACAGCCCACATTTTCTAAATCTGATATGACATGTTTCTAATTAAATTCTAGGCTTTTTGCATAACTAAAGTCTACAGATTAATTTTTCTAAATCAGAAAACAAGCAGACCTTGAAATGCTGCAGTGTAATTAATGTACAACATTGACAAAAACTAATTAAGTATAAATAAACCAAAAGGGAAATTACATCATCTTTACAGGATCATAACATATTTTGGGCAGTCATTCAAGTATAAATATTCTTAGAATAATTACTTTCGATAACTAGGAAAATGAAATATTTAGACAAAAGCATATATTTAAATTGTATGGAACTTAATTGGGTAGACCTTAATTGTTCATGTAGTCTTATGAAATATAGGAATCAGAATTTCACAATACAATAGTTCTCACATCTTCTCCCCTCACCCTATTTTTGACTTGCTACTTTTTTCTTTTCTTTTTAAAAAAAATTTTAGCACCCCTTTCCTCTCTTTCACTCTCCCACTTTTTAGTGAAGTTTTAGTCTTGACAGCAAATCACTTTTCTTCTGCACATTAGATATGACTCTATTTTCTAAGTCTTTATTAATAATCAGTTTGATTCATTTTCCTGTATGGCTTTGTTATGTTAAGGAAGCTTTCTGTTAAGAGTTTATGGTCATTAATGACCTGTCTTGCTGTCTGTGATGTCTTTACTTATCAAGGTAAAGTAGGAGAGGAAAATTTTCTAGTGCTTAACTTTTTTCCACCTTGCATAAATATTAAAAAACACCTATCAGTGCCTATCTGCAGCTGTCAACCAAATTAAATATTTCAATGTAAACTTAATTGTCATTTATCCAAAAAGTATTTTATAGAACCTAAGAGGTTTGGTGAGTAGGAAAAGTGAATCCTTTATTTTGAGTAGTGGATTGGATTCAAGGAACTACTTATTGCCTTCAGAAGAAAAAGGCACAATAAAAGAAATACTGAGTAAAACCAAGGCTGCCTTGGGCAAAAACATGACACCAAGGAGCTCGATCTGCAGATATCTTCTAAGCCGTTCCCTGCTGTCAGGATGCCTTTGGCTGCTCAAGAGGCTCTACACATTCGCATGAGATTCTGAAACTCTTCCTGCCACCAAAAAATTTAAGCTAATAGATATAGCTATATAAAGATGATTTAATATACAACCTTTCCTTAGTATTCTTTTATTCTGGAGTAACAGCCTTCCTTTGAGGTACCAAATAGGTGACATTGCATCCTGCTACACCCAGCCCTTACCTCATGCAAACATCCTTGATTTTCACAGGGGCCTCGCCAAGCTCAGTATCACAACAACTAAGGGCTCCAGAGAGCCGCTGATAGTCCCTTGGGGTTGATCAAAATGTACAGTCATCCCTGATTTAACAATTCTTTGTGGTAAAGTCACATTAGAAAACCAATTTATACATCGATGAGATATATAGATATACATATATATGTGCTTTGACAATATAACACATTTGAAGACATAAACTATACATAATTTTTAATAACACAAGGTTTGCCCAGTAGCAAAAATTAATCAACCCATTCAACACCACCTATGATAAAAAAAACCTAAAAACAATATGATAAATAACATGACACAAACAACAAAATTCCAAAGAACTTCAGCTTAGATATTAACAAATTATTAATATACATTGCTTTACAAACAAACAAAGAACTGGTATATAATTCCTCATGGGAAGATATGAGATAAAGTCAATAGATCTAGTCATGTGAATGGATTCTAAAATATAAGTACTCGTGACATTAACTTCTTGAATGCAGTCTTGGAAGTTCATACTCTGGTGACTCCTGGTAAGATTATTTATCTCATATTTAATACTAAGAGCAGTTGTTCTACATGTTCTTGATCCTATGTGACACTTTTTGAATGAACACTGGTTTTATATCTATATAGGATACAGTTGATGAAAAAATTGATGATAAATAACGCACATGGTAAAGGGTGGGATCAGGTTCTTCACTTTTTGTCCTCAATGCCAAAACTACGGTTCTGCTTATTTTAGCCTAAACTTTATTTTATCTATAGAAAAGAAAATTTATATTCTAAAACTCTGCATTTATGAGATAACTAACCAATACTTCCAATACCAATTTCTGTCTTATAAATTCTGAGGCGTGACATCCTGGGCCAATAGAGTAGACCTTTTGGTCCAGATTTTGAATGAGTAATCCCTGAGGCTTTTGCTATATGTGATAAGCAGGATTCTAAAATGTCCCTTAAAGGGCCCATCCCCTGATATGTCCATGGCCTCTATAATTCTCAACATCATGAATTCATTTGGATATCACTCCTGTAATTAGGCCATATTATATAATCTCCTATAAAAAGGAGAGTATCTTGGTCAGCCTGACCTAAACTCATGAGCCCTTTAAATCAGTGTCTTGAGGTTAAGGACAAAATTTGAAGCATAAGAGAAATTCAATGCAAGTGAATGTTGCTGGATTTAAGGACAGATGGGTCCACATAAGAAGGAATGCAGGGATCTCCAGATGCTAAGGGAAAGTGACAGCCAGCGAGCTTATAGGAACCTGAGTCCTGTGGGTACAAGAACCTCTGAGCTCCACATGAAGTCACAGACTTGGGCATCACCTTAATTTTGACCTTGTCGACCCTGAACAGAGAACCCAGTCAGACCAGTCCTGGATTTCTACACACAGACTGTCAGTTAAAAAAAAAGGGGTATAGTTTGAAGCTGTTCAGTTTCCAGAATTTCTTATGCAGCAACAGAAAACCAATAAAATATGAAATAATTACACTTTCTTTTTTTTTTTTTTCCCCTGAAAATCAAATTTGAATTTGCTGCAGCAAGGCTTGTGTTTGTGAGCCCAGTGGTTTATCTGCTCAATGAGCCAAACCATTCTTGCTCCTCAGGTTTGGAATCTCAATAGAACTTAATTGATATTTACTAGTGGTAGTATATTCATTACTTCTTTTGTGGTTGGAAAAGGGTCATGAAAGTATTTCTGTTTTTAAAAATTATATGAAGTAATAGTATTCCAGACTGATGACGTGATTTCTGATGATCTAGAATATCTAGGACCCACTGGACTCTATGTTAGGAACAAACTTTAAGTCCAGCAATTCTATCATAATGCTGTATCTTACTCAGTGGATAGGTACATTTGTCATTATAACATTAAGTTGTTGCATAAGACTAAATATAGATTTTTTTTTGCTTCCTGATGAATAATAGTTAACCCTGTATGAGCACTAATTATGTGCCAGGTACTGTTCTAGGCATTTCACATGTACTGTCTCCTTGATTTCTCACAACAAAACTATGAAGTTATGCTGTTATTTCCAATGAATAGATACAGAGACAAAGAGCAGGTAAGTAACTTGACTAAGATTGCATGGGTATATAATCCTCTTGATGGTATCTTCTCATATCAGAAAATAATCTTCAGCAAGTTAATAAAGGATTGTATTACCTCCCTTAGTTTTCTACCATTTTCTAAATTGTTCTTTTGACTTGATATTGGTTTTAGATGAGCTGAATGTCAAGTGCTCCAACACCCTTAAAAGAGAAAGAGAACCATTCTTCTATGGGCTTATAATGTGAACTAGAAGTAACCTTTACTACTAATAATTAGACAACTCACTGTTATCTAATTACTATTAGAAAGAAGAGCTTAAAACTCACTACTTTAAAGAATAATTGTGAATAGGCATTCTCCAACATATATCTAAGTTCTGGGCAAAACATAAATATATATTATTTTATTATACTTACATATATAATAGCATATCTACATGATGGACCAAATGTAGGTTTACAGATGTGAGTATGTGTAACAGAGTTTATTCTTGTATTATTACTTATTAATTATCATATTTTATTTTCCGTAAGAACAACGGTAAACCTGCTTTTGCCCCATCCTGTATATGCTACATGTTTGATGTCTAGGACCCAGGGGAACGTTTTGCTATTAGCTTTAGTTTATCAGAAAACTACATAGTTTAAAATTTAGTGTTTTTTGAGTGATTTAATTGAGACTGTGTTTTGACCAAGGTAGGTATTTGGTGTCTTCATTTTCATGGCATAATTTGGGGGTTATTGATTGTCCATTTCTCTGAGGTCTAGGAAAAACATTATCCCTGCCCACTCATAATTTCTTTTACCCAGAAAAGTTCTCAGTGACTCTGCTGAAGGAATTAAACTTCCATTCCTCCAGGAAAATGTCCTTGGCTCCATTCACACAATTAGACTTCTGCTCACCTATACTATATTACTCTAGTCTTACATAATTACTTATACTTCACTGCACCTGCGGTGTCTCAATTTTCAAGGAACATCAAGGATGTTATGCTATAGAGTCCATGGAGCACACTTATTGCTGCAGGATGGTGTGGAGGGCATTTTCGATGAGGATGTGGAGGACAAATGCCCCCCATACCTCAGTGTCAGAGTGGGCTGCAACTTTTATGGAATTTTTTTTTTTTTTTTTTTGCTTTTCTGTGATCTACATCTTGTACCTTAGTATGGTTGTCATTTTGCTCAGAATCCTGGAGCTTGATTTTTGCCTCATTTTCCCCTGATTTC